CAAACAATATGGCTTCTCTCTCACTTACCAACTTTACATTTCCCTGTATGGCCCCGGAAGATGACTGGTTAGCCAGAGACGGGTAAGATTCCTCAAGGGAGGAACAACCTAAGACAGGCACAGTCGCAGGGGGGCCATCAGGTGAGAATTTGGGGATCAACAGAGGTGAGGCTCAGAACCTCACCCCCCCTGCTTTGAGAGAAATCTTCTGCATCCGTGGATGTCTTGCTGCCCTTGTCTAGCCTGGATTAATACTTAGTCCATAGGCACACACCTGATCATCTGATCATCTACATTTGCCTTCTTACAGCACTAAACTATGTTTTCTACCTTTATCTTGCATCTACCTACCACTTCAGCATTTTATTAAAAATAAAAATAATAATAATAATAGGAGAAATGTGGGATCAACATATAAATCAAGTACAAAAATCAAATGAATATTCATATTTGACCTGATGGTTTATAGGTCATATTGCATGATCAAAACCGAAAGTTTCTGTGATGAATGCCCTTGTACTGTTCACCATGTAAGAATTTATTCACTGTGCAAGAATTCGTTCACCATGTAAGAACTTGTTTGTTATGCTTCAGAAGATTGGAGACTGACGAGAATTAGGCTTGAGATGGATTAATGATTGTACATTGAGCATTGACCCCCCTATACTGAATTTTATTGTTGTTAACAACCATTTGATCAATAAATATGAGAGATGCCCTCTCAAAAAAAAAAAAAAACTAAATTGTTTGTGGGGGTGCTGGTGGGAGTTAGAAGCCAACTGTAGGAAGCATGTACTACTCTTTATCTGCACTTCTGTCTCTCTGGAACTTTAGAGAAGGTTCTGAGGACTGTTCAAATCCAACAGGCAATGTTAAAATGAGCAGAACTTTATCCTAAGCCCAAACATTCAGTTGAGATAAAGCTCTGAAAGGACTTAAGATAAAGCACATATAAGAATGTGCGGCTGTAGTTTTCCAGGGAATAAAAATGTTCCCCTGGGTTCTTCTTCCTTTGCACGAGCCACACCTCTGGTATCCAAGACAAAGGAATCACCCGTAGCTCACGGAAGACCACGGCCCCCAGTGCCGTCTACGCTGAGGCACTGATGTATCCAAGTCAGGTGGGGTCCAGCTCCTGCAGAAAGCTGAGGTGCAGATGGTATTTTTAGGAGCTGGCAGAAGGCTGCAATACAGGCTCTCTCTCCTGCTTGCTTTCCTAGGCGGTCATCTTCCTCACACGCAGCCACCTGGCTTCCCTTCTGCATCAGTATTTATTCCCAAGGGCCCAGGCCGATGCTGAGTCCCCATTCGGCAGCTGCCACCCCGCTCCGCCCCAAGCAGTGGCAGGTGTCTGGAGCAGGCAGGAAAAATGGGAGGGACAGTGGCTTTGGCAGCCTTGCTTTCTCTCAGTCCCTCTTCCAACTACAGGTGACCCCTGAACAATGCAGGGTTTGGCCTGCCAAAGTCCCAGGGCCAGAGGACAACCCACACATAACTTTTGACTCCTCCAAAGCTTACCTGCTAATGGCCTGCTGTTCACCGGAAGCCTTACCAATAACATTAACAGTCAATTACACATACTTAGTATGTTATATGTATTATATACTGTATTCTTAGTATAAAGTAAGCTAGAGAAATGTTTTCAAATTGTGCAAATCTCCAAAAATACTTTCCAATATATTTATTGAAAAAAAAATCCACATATAAATAGACTCATGTAGTCCAAACCCCGGTAGTTCAAGGGTCAGCTGTATTGTATTTTTCCTCTCCATCTACAGAAGCCTTTCAAAATAAAACACGTTGCCGTTAACAAGACCCCCTTCCTTAATCTCTAGGCACCCCTGGAAGGTAGGTGAGGCACCTAGTACAATTTCCTTTCTGCAGAGGCCCGACGATTAAGTTTAGCAAGGTTAAGGCGCCGATCCTGGACAAGAACGTGGCCCAACTCGCACTGTGCAGTGATTTCCCTTCCTTCAGAGGCCAGACTGTCCACAGCCCCCAGGCAGAGCCATCCCACTCTCTCCAGCCTAAGCCCAAATCACAATGTTCTCTCTGCCTCCTGCCCCCCAACCTTTCTATTCCTCTATTGTTGACTAAATTTGGCAAAATCCTCCCTCAGCAAATTTATACGGTCGATTACTATAACCTTACAAGTCAAAATAAGTGAAGATCGCTGATAATTTACTGGGTTCTACCCCCCCGGCTGGGACGTGCAGGCACACCTCCTGCTTAATGTCAACCACCTCCTGGAGGAGGCCGACTCGGTGGCGGCGTGTCAGCGGCCGCGTGGGGTCGCGGAGGGCAGCCAGACCGCGCCCTAGCAAACACGGGAGCTCGGCGCCCGGTGGCCTGGACCCCGTCCGCCCCTCGGGTCACGTGGGAGGGAAGGACTAGTTCCTGGCGCCGGGCACACGGGGGCGCCAGAGCGCAGCTGCTACCGAGAGGGCGGAGTGGCGACGCTCCTCCTCGGGACGCCGACGTGCCCACGTTATGAGGGCCTCCACGGCCGACCCGGAAGCGCGGACGTCACGTGGTGCGGCGTGGCCCGCTGCCGTGGAGACGCGGCGCACGAGCTCCCGGCCGGAACTGCGGTGCTGGGGCGGCGCCCCGCGGCCCGGGAAGGGGCTGCCCGGGGATCTCCATGCTGTCAGCTCGGGGGCTGGGCGGCCTGGGGGCCCGCGCGGCGGCTCTCGCGTCCGGGCTCCGCGCTCGGAGGGTCAGCACCAGCTGGTCGCCCGTGGGCGCCGCCTTCAATGTCAAGCCCCACGGCCGCCGCCTGGACCTGTTCGGCGAGCGCCGGGTACGCGGCGGGGGAGGGGCGCCTCCGAGCCCTGAGATCGCCGGCCTCTTCCCCGCGTGGACAGCGGGGATCTGGGCAAGGTCGTTTGCGTCTGGGAGGCGCCGGGCAGCGAGGCCACTTTGTCCTGGACGGTGTCGTTTGCGGTCTTGGTGACCTCGCCCGTCACCTCCTTTCTGAGGGACTGGTTTAAAAGGGGCGAGGCGGGCTTTGGTGGTCCTGTCCCCGAAGTGTGGGACCCGCACCTGCCTCTGCGTGAGCCCCTTGCTCCACGTGAACTTCAAAGCGTTCACCTTGGCGGCGGCTTGAATTCCGCCCGTCCGGGTACCGCCCTCTCCCTGTATTCGGTCCAACCGCGGCTAAAGTTCGCTTTTGTCCCGCGCTACATTTGTGCAGTAGGAGACCACGTCCTGTGGGTTCACCCGCGGTATCAAGTTGTCATTTTGCAAGGATACACAATTCCCTGTTGCCCAAATGCCCATCAGTTTTTTTCAAAACTTTGGGCTCTCCTTGTTTTTTAAAGCACAAGACTGTCGAGAACAGCCTAATTTCCTATGATGTGATGGAGTTGTTCTGCTGATTTGTAACTCCAGAAAGTCACTGATTGAATTCTTTGATTCCTGTTTATTTTTATATCCACAGGCCCAGCACGGTGTCTGGCTTTCAGTAGGCACTCAATTATGTTCATTGAATGAAAGGAGAAAAGAAAGCGAGCTGAAAGGGACTTACTTTTGTACTTCACATTTGTAGATTTTGTCCACTTTGAGTTGTTACTTTTACTTTTGCCTTATTTGTTTCTTCATCGTTTCTACCATTGCTTTTCTTACAAAGAGGTATCTAGGATATGGTTACAGTGAGCCTGATGATATGTCTGTTTTATTACTTTATCCTTGTCATTAGCTTTTTTAAAAAAATTTTTATGAAATTTGCTACACCAACTCGCATACAGGTACATAATGTTGGTAATAACGTAATTGGTATGAGGAGAGAAACTGTATAAACTGAGCAGAAAGGTGGAAAGATCAAGCTTGGTTTTGGGTGGATGAAATGTAACTAATTTTAGCTTTATTTTTCTTTTGTACATCATGATATTAGATATCAATTCACTTTCAAATATGTGAATTGTTTTTTTGACTAAAAAACAAAAACCCCAAAGTTTAGGTAGTCTATTTAGCATTACCGTAACTAGTAGTCTAGTCTGAGATTTAGAATTCTGAAGAGTAGTGTGGGAAGGTGTGCTGGGAAGTGAAAATAAATAGTATGCATTTGGCTTTTTCAGCAACTTTGAAGCCAAGAGGATGTTAGACCTCATGGTCTTCCCAGCCCTTTGACACTCTCCCTGGAGCCCCTCAATAAAATCATTTGAATAGCCTACCTCCCCCTAAAATAGTCTGTACTTGAATCAAATTAAATCAGTGTAAAGATCAAATTTATCTTTGGTCCTGTTTCTGTCCTGCCCTTAACTGTCTATATTTTCTTCAACTTCTTAATATATATTGTAAAGTTAAGTTCATGTATCCCTTCTTGCAGAAAAGTAGGCCGTATCAGGCCTGAAAGTTTTACTTCTTGGTATTTCTCCAAATCAACACGTCTAGCAGCACAAAGTTAATCTGCAAAGTTAAGCATCTGGTGCAGTAATTGTTTCATTCATGAGTTCCCGGATGTGGCAGGTGCTACCTTGGGCAGCTGGTCAAAATGATAAACAGCTGGGTTCCTGCTTCTAGGCGCTTGCCTTCTCAGGAGGAACTCTGTAATACCGGAAGTGTGCAGAAATACAGAAGCGTGGGCTTTAGAGACAGGGAGCAGGTTCAAGTTCTGACTTTCCTACTGTCAATCAGTGACCTCAAACATGTTTGTTTTAACCTCTTAAAGTGTCAGACTATGTGATTTAAGTGAGAACTTATATAAAGTACATAGTACACTTCTTGGCATACTGTAGTTGTGTATGGTAGTATGTTCTTCCTCCTTCCTGAGGGCTATAACAAGTGTGGTTAAACTGGTACAAGAAGATGGTCATTCCCATTAGATGAGTGATTTTGTCTTTATCAAGGTAATGAAATGTTTCTAGAAAGTATAAAATTTGCTGCCAGTTTCAGCCTATGACATGTTTTAACTTGTCCATTAACTCTTTTTAAAATGCCTTGTGCTTAATAATCAACTCATCCTCCTGATTTTGGAGTGGCTGGTACTGTGTACTGGACTTGGGTGGATGTGTGACAGTGTCAGTAAGGACTCTATATAAACTTTCTACCCTTAGTACCTGTGTGCGCACTGTGAGGTATATACTGCCATTCCTGTTGCGCTGATGAAAAATTTAGGCCTGGCAGAGTGATAGGTCCACCAAGGTCACACAGCTAACATCTATTAAATGCACTCTGTGAGCCAGGCACTGTTAATATATATTTAACATGTATTATCTCATTTAATCCTTTTAACCACTTTATGAGATAGGTTCTGTAGTAGTGACAAAGCTGGATTTTGAACCGGTACCATACTGTTTTGTTTTTTATAAGATAATTAAAAATAGAAGAAAAATCACATTCCTAAAACATTTTTAATGTAACCCATGTGGAATTATGCAGGGATGTGACTGCTAACTGAGCCCAGGCATTGCTGGGAACCAAGGTTTCCTTTATGAACAAAGTTATATATACCCAATAGCAAAAAAATCATATTTTGAATTACAAACTGGAACAGTCTGTTGGATTTCAGGGTCTTTTCGGAGTTCCCGAGCTCAGCGCCCCGGAAGGATTTCGTGTCGCTCAGGAGGAGGCCCTGAGGAAGGCGGACTTGCTGGTGGAGCGCGTGTGCTCCACGCCCCCGGGGCCGCGGACCGTGCTCATCTTTGACGAGCTCTCCGACTGCTTGTGCAGGGTGGCTGACCTGGTAAGGCGCTCGGCGAAAGACTGCCGTCTGCCTCTCTTTCAAGCTGTTAAAATTTAAGCTAAGTTGATTTGCCTTAATGTTAGACTATAAGGTTAAAAATATCTGAACTATATGAAAGTTGTTGCGTGTGTTTTGTTATAGTGAAGTACGTCATTAGGACAGGGAAACATACAGGAAAAGGTGATGCTGAGAACTTGTACTTTAATACATATTTTTAAAATATGTGTAACGTATAATAAAAGAATGATTATTTGGATGGCAGAGATTCTTCATTTGACCAAGATTCTTCATTTATGTAAACTACTGAAATTCTAATACAACATTCAGCCGTACATTTATAATACAATTAATCTTAAGAAAAACCAATTTTTATAAATCTTTTCAGGAATGCCTTTTCTCATGAAAATCAAGTTTTGGCATCAAACCGATTATGTTAAAGACTTCCTTTCTTTCATATTTTGAAGTGGAAATAGAAATGTAGCTTAGTCTCTTCTCCAACTGAGAAACCCATTGCTGAGATAGAAGGCATGATTTACTGTCAGCCCCCAAAAGGCCCATCCTGGTAGTCGTGTCAGTGAAGGTGATTATCGTGGTGCACATAATCCGAACTTGTGGTCGCTCTTGATCCTGTCTACTTGGTATTGGGCTGCAAGCAGCTTTGTCTTCACATTTCATTCTGTATTGTGCCCCCAGCATGTGCCCGGCACTGTTCTAGGCACAGGGACTGCTGTCATGAATAAAACAGACACAATCTCTGACTCAGGGAGTTATATTCTGGTGTTAACTTTGAGATTTTACTAGGCACCGGACCTTGGAAATAGCTTTACCTGCTTAACTGATTTGACTTTCTCAGCATAATTCCATTTTCAGAAGAGGAAAGAAAGGCACTAAGAGGTTAGGTGATGTGACTCAGGTCACCCAGCCAGTATGTGGTTGAGATGGGCGTTGAGTCTGGGCAGCCTGGCTGCAGAACTCACGCTCTTACCTGCTGTTTCATATCCTTTTAGGGACTGGCTGGTGGCTTAGGTCAGAGAAGCAGGTTTGCTTATCCAGAGGGGCTGGGAAGTTAGCCTCCCCATCTTTTCCAAAGTATTTATTCACTTTTAAAATTACCAAACACTAAAACTGACTTCTTCCAGTTGGGAGAGGAGGAGGTTGGTATAGGTCTGTGAATTTTAACTTATGTATTCATGTAGCCCCCACCACAATCAGGACTTGTAACTATTCTATCCACCCCCAAAAACTCCCTTTGTAGTCATACCACCTCTCACCTCTAACCTCTGGCAACTACCGATCTGTTCTCTAGCCCTCTGGTTTGTCTTTTTTAAAATGTAGGGTAAATGGACTCATATTTATTTACCTTTTGAGATTGACTTCTTCCACCCAGCGTAACACCCTACCACCTTCATTATATCCTTTTTCAGACAATTTCCTTCCTCCCATACACCATAATTGAGCAGTAAAACCTTCCAGATTATCATACGTCACTCTAGCCTTCCTAGTTTTAACAACACTGAAAACGTGTCTTTCTTCAAGGTTCCCAGGAGTGAAACGGGGTGTGCCCCTTGCGTCAGTTCTCAGGCTTACAGGTCTCAGCCCCGCCCTCCACTGTGCCCAGCCATCGCTGTAAACGGCGCAGGAGACGTGGGGCGCGTACTGCTAAAGGGAGGTCACACCTTCTCTGCTTAATTGTGTCACGGAAATCCGAAAGGGAAAGAGTTTGCCAGTGAACCTGTATGTAATCAAGTATTGGCTTTTTTTGTCAGAAATCCCAGAACTCACTGTCATCTTAGACCCCATCATAATTAAGCAGTGTTCTAGGGTTCTATATTTTTGCTGTTCCTCCCCAAAAGATTTCAAATGCTCTGCCTCATACCTCGTGCAGTTTTTAAAGTTTTTTTTCTACTTATTAACTAAAATAATATCTCATTAAAAAAAACTATGGTGTTATTTATATATGTAAATCCTTGGGTAGAAAAATCCAAAGAACCTTCATCCTTTTTGAATTTTTAAGATTTTACCTGCCTGTAATATCAATACCATTATAAGGCAAGGGTTTTATAAACTATATTTCCCATCAAATAGTCATTTTTTTTCCTTTTTAAATATGGTTGCTACATAACAGTATTTTTCTTATCACTATGACCAATGAGTTTTGAAATGCATGCAAGTGTTTGCTGAATTTAATATTGATTGTAAATTCTGCAACATGTAGATTAGTCACTGAAACAGTTTGTTGTAATTTCACAGCTGATTTTTCAGGTTCTCTAGTATTACTGTTGTCTTATTGTTACATCAGAAGTATCAAATTATGGTTTTAAATGTTTTCCCATTAAAAATGATTTGATAATAAAATCGATTTTACCTTGTGATTTTATTTCATGTTATAGTCACACATGTTGTTTTCTTGCTGAAGGAAGAAAATGTATAGTGTTTTGTAGTTTCCTAGCATTTTTCTTTTGTAGTGTACTGCAGTTAACATGAAAATCTAGTTTTACATGATTTCATTTCAAAACAAGAATTCTAGCTCAGTTTAATTCTAAGGTCAATGTAGCAGCTGCTGCAGCAGAGGGAGATGTGTACCATTTTAAGCTGGGACTAGGAATTCAAATTTACTAAAAGGGTTATAAAGAGAGGTTATAATTGTTTTCTGCACAAAGAAATGTAGTTAAAATGGTCTTGAGATTATACTGTGTGACAATTGGAAAAAATGCCTCTTTAAGAGTTGTTCCCAGAATGACATGTGAGAACCATATTGCAAACAGTTTCGGTTAGAAAGTTTTAGAATATTTGAAACAAGAGTCTGCTTTTTGTACCTACAGAATTAGGAAAATTCACTTGGTATGTTTATATTTGAAACAAGAAAGAGTTTTCTAAAATAAAGTCAGTGAAAGTATTTTCTTTGGAATGAAACAAACTTGGTTCCAAGCAGTAACAGAATAAATATTCAGATAGAAGCTGCTTTGTCCGACTAGTTTAGGAAAATTTCAGTAATGGAAATGCATACGTCAAGCCAAATGGCACATTTTAAAACACAGGTTTTCATTTTTGCCCTCACCACTGGAAGAAAGCTTGCCATCAAATTCCCTCTTGGTTTTGTCTTCTTTATTAGGCTGATTTTGTGAAAATTGCTCACCCTGAGCCAGCATTCAGAGAGGCGGCTGAAGAAGCGTGTAGAAGTATCGGCACCGTGGTAGAGAAGTATGTTCTGTTCTCCTCTGTTAAATATTGGGTGACATGGTTTCGTGGATTTGTGCTTCAGGAAATTTGTCCCGAGGGCTGGTCTACATCCTGCAGGGTGTGGGATGGCCTGTGTCCCTGCCACACAGCTGCCCTGGTGGTGCGGGAGGAGGGGCACCCTGGCAGGCCACTGTGTGCACCTGCCCAGCACTAGCCGTGTGACTTTTGGGCTAGTTCTGTCACTTAGTTTTCTTGTCTGTAAATGGGATGGGAAAATGATTTGTCTCTTAGGTTTGTTGTGAGGAAAATGAGACCGTGAATATGAAGTGCTCATAAGGTGTCAAGACATATCGCTCATCCTTGGTATCATTACTCCTCTTTATGTTAAGGAAGGGGTTCTTAGTATCTCCGTGGCTCGTTGGCATTTCTAGATTGTCCTGTGATTGACTGCTGTCGCCCTGATGGCTGTGGGCCACAGGACAAGAAGCCAACATGGACTACACAGTGGCCTCGCAATCCCTGTGGATTCGGGCCTAGGGGTCTAGGGAGATGATAAAACTCTCCCAAAGGGCAGAGGCAGGCTGAGGCTATGATGAAGAGAGCTGTTCTAAAGAGATTTTGAGGTAAATTGAGTTTATTCTAAGCCATTTAAAGGGAGGTGCCTGCTAAAATGACTTCTATGTGGACAGAGCTCAATCCGGAAGCGTTCTGGGAGGCCAGGCTGGGAGCGTCTACACCTGGGGAGAGCCGTAGGGCCCGCCTGGCGTGAACTTATGACTGAGAAAACATGGGAAGACTAGACTGCCTTTCACAATCCCGAAGTCCTCCAGCCGGACAGGCTTGCTGGGGCCTAGTGCTCCCGGACAGGCTGCCGCTGCCTTCTCCCACTGCGTGTCATTTGCTCCTTAAAGGGTGATGTGTGTGATTGTCCTTATTGCCCTTGAAAATCACCTCGCTGAGAGGGATGAAACTGGCCCCTGTGAGCCCCAGGCCCTGGGCAGAATGAGGGGGCTAAAAAGAGCATTGCTGGGGGAAAGGGCCCCACAGAGGGAGGCCAGTGCAGTGCCCGAGGCGCCCCAATGCCTGGTCTGCCGGAATCTAGAAGGTTCTGGGCTGAGGGCTCAGGCCCTTCAGTGTGGGGAGGGCAGCAGACCTGCGGTGAGTGGTGGAGTTGTCCGGAGTGTCCGTCCGAGGGCTTTGGCAGTCTCTGTTCTTCCCCCCACTCGAGCTGTCGCCCGGGGACCCCAGAGTAGTCAGGAAACAGCTGTAGCCTTGAACCAGAGCTTTGCTTTCTGTTCTTAAAGTATTCTGACTCATTTTCTCCTTTACCCTAACTGAACCACATCTTAACTGCTTCTGTTGGGTTTTGAAAAAAATAGGACAATTTTAGGTGCAGGTGTAGAATTGATTTAGTTTCTAATAGTGAAAAAGAAGACCAGTATTAGGTGTGTTTATTTCGAGTTAAGATCAGCTGCAGACTAAAGTATCTCAGGATCTCATGACATGAAACATAATGTGGGAGATGTGTTCAAATTTCGGAAGAGGGTCCAGTGCTGGCCCAGCTCCTGGTGTCCTGGGCTGGAAGTCTGGGAGTAGAGGGCGGGGGGTGTGCCTGCCCTTGTCATTGAGCCTTTCGTCCCCAGTGCCCTTGGTGTTTGGGGTCCCAGGAGAACTGCAGCAACAGAAGCCCTTGGATTTACAGAAAACTGCCGAGTTGTGATTGAGGACTGAGTGGGGAACCTGGCCGTCCTTGAGGCCTGAGCAGGATTGCTGGAAGGTTCTTACAACCTCCCCTTTCCCTGAAGATGCTCCAGCCAGGGAACAGAGTGTGTCTATCACCAGTTCATGAGTTAGCGCTGAGTGTCAGGGCTTTGGGGCTCCCGGGGAAGGGGGCTCAGGACCTGATGGAGGAACCGCGGTTCTCCGTGTGGGGCCCGGGGCTGGGGAGGCGCTGGTGGCCACCTAACACTGGCTGCTGTTTGTTCCTATGGGGGGAACATGCTGTACACACACCATCTCATTTAACCCACAGGGTCTCCGAAGGTCTAACAAGTTGAGGGAGTTCCAGTGACTTGCCTGAGGTCAGAGAGTAGTTGTGGGGCTGGTGGGACTGGCGCTGGAATGGGAGCAAGGGGCCCTGGGGCCTGGACCCTGGAGCTGTGCTCACAGCGTGGGCCAGCCAGTGGGTGAATTCCCATCAACAGAATCTCTGCTGCCCATCCTGTTCCCATCCTGCTCCCATCCTCACTCCTTTCCTTTTCTTCATTAAAAGAACAAGTGGCCGTTGGCGTATTGCTGGTGGGAACTGGTTCTCAGTGTGGGAGCAGGGTCAGGCCACCAGCCCCCTCCCCTCTTTCCTCTCCCTTTGGCCCGCTGCTGACTATGGCGTTCAGTTCACCCTTTTCCCTCCGAGACCAGTACCTGACGCTGAACAGCTGCCTGTCCCCATACTAAGCACGGTTATGCGATTTCTTGTCCAAATGAAGAAACAAATCAAAACCTAAACTTCTAGCTTCTGGGCATGTGTGTGTGAGAATCTGACACTCCTCTCTTGATGTAAAGTTAAAAAGAAGGTATTAGAAAAATCATTTAACTTTTTTCATTTGTAATTTTTCTAGGTTGAACACAAATGTGGAATTGTATCAAAGTTTGCAAAAATTACTAGCTGATAAAAAACTTGTGGATTCCCTTGATCCAGAAACCAGGTATTCATTCCTTTGCGTTCACTGTGATTGCCCTCTCAGGGCTGGGATCGGAAGGCTTCCCCGGGGTTTGCGTGCCCCCGCCCCCTCTGTCTGGCATGCTTCTCCCCAGGTGTCTTTCCGTAGCATTCCTCTCAAGCCGTGTCTCCTCCATAGTCTCTGTGCCGGGTCAGGCTCCATCTCCTGACCCTGCTTTGCTTTTCTTCTTAGTCCGAATCACTTGCAGATTACTTTTATCTGTTAATTTTCCATCTCTCTGCCCCTCAGAGTGGAAGCTTCTTGGGGCAGACACTGTCTGTTCTGTTCACTGCTGCATCCTAGCACCTGGAACACCTCATGGCCTCTAGGAGGTGCTTCACTAGTGAATGAATTCCCATAAACAGCTGGTAATTACATTTAGCTTCCAGCTTCAAGTTCATAATCTGTACCACCTGAAAATGTAGACAAATTGATTTTCTTTATTGGGTGCATGCCAGGCTCCTTGGGATGATTCGCTTTGGTTCAGTAGATTACACTTATTAACCTGAATTGAAAAGGCCTAATTGCTAAGTCAGTACGTAAAAATATTTGATAAAGGATTTTAGATATCATATTTCTTTCTTCAAATTTTATTTATAAAATAGGTGTAGTAGGGTTTGTCCTTAACCCCCCTATATATGATTTGTCTCAGCACAGAGATTAATATTTTTTCTTACCTCGCACTTGTTTGTACTTGTTTATCTATTTTTTATTCATGGGACACTTCCTTCCTTCGCCTCCTTGCTTCTTCCTCTTCCTGCTTCGTCTTCTCCTTTCTGTCTCCGTATGTGGCTTGTGACCCCCATGCAAAGTGCTGTTCTACAGGGATCGGCTGATAATGGAATCTTGTGTGAGTCTGATATAAGTATCACACCACACGAGCAGCCCAGTGAGGCTGTCTTTGAAGGGTTATTTTCACCTGATTGCCAGCTATGCAGATGCTACTTTGGTCTTATTTCATTCATTAATCCTGACACTCTGGATGCAAGCAGTCAGTTGTACTATCAGGGGAGCTCTACTATTAGGCTTGAGCATTATATTGCATCCATTAGCAAAAAGAGTAAAAGTTGAATGCCTGCTAATTGTGCCAGATTTATACTCAGCTGGTACTGACTTTGAGCAGCAGCAGCAGGTCATTCATGATCTGACTTTACTAATGGTTGCCCTTTCCATATTTAATGGATAGATTTGTAGTGGACTATTTCAGATATAAAGGACTTGTTCTAACAGATACGTACCACATTTCTAGATGTTACTGGAAATGCCAGTATGATTTTAAACTAACAAAATGATAAATGCATTGGGAAAAATAAGCTGGGTAGAATAGCAATATTCTAGAAGAGAAAGGAAACTTGTAAGTTGGAGGACATAAGAATTTAAAGTAGTTTTTTGCTGAAATACCATGGCACTGGTACATCATCAAAAGTGTTGGCTAGGACCTGTAGAAAACCTTGCATATGGTAAAGTATAAGACAAAATGTAAGGATAAAACAAGGAATTAGAGATTTCATAAATTAACTCATCATGACAAGTTAATGTATCAAAGAAATTACTTTGAGTAGATCAGCATCTTATCCTTAGATGCATTCCTTAAAATATTCGTTTTATGAGATATTCAAATATATTCCCAGAAGGATCCCATTGGCCAGTTAAGTTTGCAAATATGACACATTAGTATATTTTCCCCTCTTGGAGTCTATGAGAAGTCCAGCCATAAAGAAACTTGTTTTGCTTGAGGTTTTTGAAAACTATCCGGAGCTTTCTTGTCTGCAAGTATAACATACACTCTCTCCAGAAAATATAATGGAAGGAAAGTCCCAGTCACAAGGGCAACCACGGCTGTCATACACCGTAGGATAAACTCAGGCAGCAGAGGACAGAACCTCAGACACCCACACACACAGACAAATGGGGAGCATGATATTTAATGAAGAAACATACTGTGTTCTTAGATGAGAAAGAAAATAGTGTTCTCTACTGGTTTGTAAGTTTAATGCCATCCAATCCACATCTAAGAAAAGGTGAGTTTTTGGTGGTTGTTACTTAAAATGATTTTGAAGCCATATACAATAAATATGCTAAAATAGGCAGAAAAATATGGTAATGGAAAGTACTTAAGAGGGACTTTAATCAATAGTAAGACATTTGTAAAAATTCTTTACAAGAGCTTTATAGTTATATCAGAATAGTCCATTAGATCACTGGAGGAATAGAGGAATTTCAGACACAGACACAAATATGTATGAGACTGTTTAGGATATGATAGAAGTGTCATTTCATACAAGTAGGGGAAGACTCGAGTTTCAGTAAATGATGTTAGGCCAGAGGATAACTGGGGAAGACAGTAGGTCAATTAAAGATTTAAGTATTTTTAGAAGAAATCACAAAAGTATTGCTACTTTTGAATGTGGAAGAGTCTTTCCTCTAGTGGTGCCAAAGTCCGAGCACAAAAGGAAAGATTGATTTGATTAAATAAAAACTGCGAACTTTGGTATGGCACAGTTCAAAGTTATAATACATGAAAATAAATGCACTTAAATGACAGAGGGTTAATATGTTTACTATGTTAAGAGGCCTTACAAATTATTTAAAAAAAGAAAAATAGTGAACCCTCTTACGGAAAAAAGGGGTAAAGGATTAATTTCACCAAGTAAGGGAGAGCAACAGATGGCCGTTAAACCCATATCAGTACGCAGTAAGCAGCGCTGGAAACACCTGCGAGGTGGCGGTGGGCGAGGTGGCCTTTGAAATTGGACCGCCTTGGTTGACTACTGACTCCATAGCTCTCCAAGCCTCAGTGTTTCAAGGGTTTAATGAAGTAATTCATGTAAAAAGCTTTGTCAGTATCTGCGAGGGTATTCACTCAGTGATGGGACCTGCCACCATGAAAGAAAGACAATAAAGTGAAGATCCCGTCCCTTGACAACCCTGCAACAGAGTAAGAAGAGTGTTTTAGTGGTTTGGGGTAGTGGGTCTTGTCTGGTTAGTATAAATTGATACATCTTTATTTTATGGAGGACAATTAGGTAATAAGTGTATCAATGTACGTACTTTTTGGTCAATTTAATTTCTTGGAGTTTATCTTAAGGAAACAAACAAGGATAAAGAGATGTATGTAATAAGGATTTTTATCATAGTTTAGAGGAGTGGGGAAAAATAAAAACATTTTTAGTCTAAATGGCAAAAAAATTGACAAACATGAAAGCCATGTTTTTGAGGAATATTTAAAGTTATAGAGAAATGCTCAATGTTTGTGGTTCAGTTTTATAAGAAAAAGCGAGATACAAAAGTCTGTGTAGTTGGGTCACAGTTATTCTAAGAAACAAGTGCACCGTAGATTGGACAGGAGCCAAGAGAAAGTCTTTATTGCTGTCGCTGTGAGCCCCACGTTCAGTGCCACTGAGACAGTATCTTGGTAAGACCAAAGATGCTGCCCAGCCTGCGTTTCTCAGGACAAGAGTCCACCTGGCCTGGCACCCAGGGGCAGTAGATGTGTCAGAGTGAGGGAGTCAGTTAGGGTCCCTCGTGTCTGTTCAGAAACTCGGCAGATGTTTTTCAAGTACCCGCTATATGCTGGGTGCTGTGCTCTTTTTCTAACCTTGTCTTATTAACATGTTCTTCGTAGCCATAAAAAAAAAAGTAAAAGAAGCAGATTGGAAAATAACAAGAATTTTAACAGTGGTTATCTTGGGTGGGATTAATGATTTTAATTTTTTCCTACATTTCTACAGTAAAGCTGTTATGTAAGAAAACTATATTATATAGTAACGTAAGCTTGTGCTAAAAGATTCCCTCCCCAATTTATCAACTCCTTCTATCTTTCTTTTCTCTTATTAAAGCAAACAGAAAATACCTTTTTGCTAGAAGAGAGTGGTATGTTTTTTAGGTTGATTGTTTAAGGAGGGAGATCAGCGTAAGGTAGTTTAGGAAATACCATTTGACCCGGGAATCCCACTCCTAGGAATTTACCCGAAGAAAACCCAACTTCTCAGATTCAAAAAGACATCTGCACCCCTATGTTTATCACAGCACTATTTACAATAGCCAAGATATGAAAGGAACCTACGTGTCCATCAGTAGATGAATAGATAAAGAAGATGTGGTACATATACACAATGGAATACTATTCAGCCATGAGAAGAAAACAAATCCTGCCATTTGCAACAACATAGATGGAGCTGGAGGGTATTATGCTCAGTGAAATAAGCCAGGTGGAGAAAGACAAGTGCCAAATGATTTCCCTCATCTGTGGAGTATAAGAACAAAGCAAAACTGAAGGAGCAAAACAGCAGCAGACTCACAGACTCCAAGAAGGGACTAGAGGTTACCAAAGGGGAGGGGCGGGAGAGGGCGGGTGGGGAGGGAGGGAGCAGGGGATTGTGGGGTATCATGATTGGTGCACATGGTGTGTGGGGGGTCACAGGGAAGACAGCATAGCACAGAGAAGACAGATAGGGACTTTGTGGCATCTTACTACACTGATAGACAGGGACTGCATTGGGGCATGGGGGGTACTCGATAATAAAGGTGAATTTCCACATTGTTTTTCTTGTGAAATCTTCATAAGAGTGTATATCAATGATACCTTAGTATAAAAAAAAAGAATATATAGATAGTTTAGGGACTTGAATGAAGGACTTTACATTATTTAAGAAAGAAGGTAAATGACTATTGTGGTCTGTTGAATTTTCAGAATTTTAGAAGAACTTTAATTGTGTTCACTCAAGGTATATTGGCACAACAATCAGAAAGATAAATATATCCATTATGTAAAGGCAGGGAAGCCAGGAGAGGAGATCCAATATTTGGTTAACTTAATTCCAGAAAGAAGAGTACTTTTTAAAAAATATTTTGACAGAAAGAGGTGTTACATTTGAAATTGGTTCCAAGCATGCAGCAGGATTAAAAAGAAAGAAAATGCTTCTCATTTGCCAAGAATCTCATCTTCCAGCACAGCATCAAAGAGTTTAATATTCTAAGTAGCTGCTACTCGTTGGAAGAAAAACTGAAAATCTCATGCAGAAGGCCTTTGTCCAAGTATAAACCGTTTTATGTTTTTAATTATTGGGATTTGGATGGAGTTTAAATAAGTAATTTTAGTGGCTTTCACAGGTTTGTACTCTATGAATAAAAGAATAAGCTCCTACATGAAAAGTTAATTATAAGCTTTTTCTTGTTCTGCAATATATATATTGATGTATTTATACATTGGTTGAAGCAATTTTTTGTGCCCTCTTTGCTTACTAACACATCTATTACAAAGTTTTTCTATCTTAATACATAACTTTACATGAGGCTAACATAATGGCTTCAGCACAACCGTTTAAAAAAAATATTAAAAAAAAAAATATATTTGAAGGAACAAAATAGCAGCAGACTGTTTAAAATATATTTGTCCCAACAAATATATTTTTTTAAAGCTGAGTTTGTTAAGTGTGAATCGTGAATGCTCTTGGGGGCCTTCTCAGAGGCCCCTAATTGGGTTGGTGGTGGGTGGGGTGTTTCATGAGATGCCAGGACTTCTAACCTTGAGAAAGAGTGTCCTGCAGGGAAGGAGGGCTGTCGGCAAGCTGACTTGTGGGCAACGACCTTCAGGGAAGGGCTGACAATGCCTGGACAGGGATGGCGGTAGGAGGAAGAGAAACGGGGTTCATTTAGTCGATTACCCATTTCCTTTCTAATCCTCTTCTCCCTCAGCAGCTTTCATATGCAAGTGAACAAGTGATATGCAGTTTTATGCTACTTATATTTTAGTAATACTAACATAAGCTCTGTGAGATGTGCTTGTTTCCTGATCCCCTGATACGGACACACCTTGGAGATTGTGGGTTCGGGTCCAGACCACAGCAATAAAGTGAATATCACAATAAAGCAAGTCAAATGGATTTTTGGTTTCCCAGTGCACATAAAAGTTATGGATACTATACTGTGGTCTATTAAGTGTGTAATAGCATTATGTCTAGTAAAATAATGTACATACCTTAATTAAAAAGCATTGCTAAAAAATGCTGACTCTCATCTGAGCTTTGGGTGAGCTGTAATCACTGATCATAGATGATCACCGTAACAAATAATATGGAAACATTCTGAAATATCATGAGATTTGCCAAAAATGTGATACAGAGACGCAAGTGAACAAATACTGTTGGAAAATGGCACCCATAGACTTGCTTGATGCAGGGTTGCCACAAACCATCAATTTGTTTAAAAAAAAACAGTATTTGCAAAGCACAGTAAAATGAGGTGTTTATCAGTTATGTTTATTTATGTGTGATAGCAGACTGCTACCTCCCAGACGTCAGGGACCATGCTTTTCGCTGTAATACATTGAAGTATGTTCCAGCCCATGTCTTTTGAAGCACAGCATGATAATGTCTGGTTTCCAGTGCACATGTCATTTTCTTTCATTTCTGAATTGAGTATTTTGACTCCCCTGGTACCTATTGGAAAGTAAAAGAAACTAAATGAGGTCATATAAAAAGGGAAAGATGTACTTTTAAGTAGAAAATAATACAGGCAAAAATTAACGAAAAGTTGCCCCTTACTTAAGACGTTATTCAGGATACTTTCCTTTCCATTGTTTTTCTGTTCTTTTTTTAAATTACTCTGATGAAATTGTTACATCAGGGAAAAGTTAGGAAACGTAGAGCCTGTTCTTAAGTTTGCAGATGCATTTTATAATCATTAAAAAATGTGGATCTCTACAAAGCATGCTAGAACTAATTATTGAAATCGTGAGGAATTTTCCCTCACACGACTTGAGCAAATTTAGCACAAAAGGAAGAGGATGGTGGATTGAAGCTGATAAAGAGTCTGATTTTTAATAGTAATGCAAGAATAAGAGGTGATCTGTTAATACTTGTGACATGTGAAAGGGTACCATCGATGATCTCTCTGAACTCAATTCTTTGTTATCCTTACGACATTTATTGTGTCTTCTACCTCATATTCATTCATTTGAAAAGTATATGTTTATGGGACCATGCTTTATGGAATGTGCATAAGTCTACCCACAAGCCACTTATAGTTCTGTTAAATACCCATGGCAAGCATAAAATACATTCCAGTTGTACATATATAGACTTACCTAGCTGCAGTTAGGTAGCATGTATATGTTTCCCAAATACTTGTATGGTGCATTGCAAAAAGTATTTTTTTGAAGGAAAGACAGTTGGGCAGTTCAAAAGATGCCCACTTTCTCTAGAAAAAAAACAGGTAAGTTTGGCCTCACTGAAATAAACTGATTCTTTTGGTTCAATTTAATTTAAGGCTTATTGTGTAGTTAGTATGATGTGTGTGATACCAGGTAATCCATAAGAGAGCTTAAAACCCAGTTCATCAGCTAGATGTCTTCCCTGAATTCTGAGATGTTAAACTCTTGGTTTCAAGGAAATTGTGTGTGGGTGAGTGGTGTGTGTGCACGTGTGTGTGTACATGTGTTGAAATATTTGGCTTTTTGGCAGTCAGGTTGAAAAAAGGCCAATTTACTTAACAAAAAACTGATTTTTGTTATTAGTTATTACCCATTTTAACCTGGGGTTCATTTTATTTATAGGCGAGTGGCTGAACTGTTCATGTTTGATTTTGAAATCAGTGGAATCCATCTAGACAAAGAAAAGGTAACTCTTTCCTCTGGTTTTGACTCCTCTTGTTTTACTAATATTTAGTTGGTATCTTTGTTGCTACAATCTTTGTCTATAGCTTGAGTTTGTGTATTGTAAAAACTCATAGGTTGTGTTAGGAAATTCTTCTATAAGGTGTATTTGAATGTAGTGCTCTTTGGAAGTTGGCCCATCACCTGTGATAATTCAGAATTAAGAAATCATTTGAGACAGTTGGGGTGTTGTAGATTTCTTGGAATCAGGATGAGATCAGAAAAGCAGAGAGGTGAGCAGGAAAGCTGATGCCATTGAAGATGAAGGTCTGTAAATGGGAGGACAGGGAACATCATTAAGACCTATGCATGAGTGTATTCGTATCGTATCTTTGGCAGAGCCACAGAGTTTTGTTCTGGAAGCAGTGAGCATGTGTTACACAACGTTTAAACTGGGTGGAAGGGGCCTTAAACACCTTCCAGATCCTTCATTCTGCAGATGAGGAAACAAGACAAAACAATCTGTTCCAGTTCCCACCCTTAGTTTCCAGGACTTCTGATCCTGGCCACTGTTCTCTTTAACCATGACATCCTAAGAAACTGAGAACCTTGTTTCCGTGTTAAGCTGGGTTGGAAGAATGGAAGTGACTGGACCACCACTGAAAGATCGCTCCTACTGACTGCTTGCCTAGACTATCATTGCCGCTGCTTTTTTTTCTTTTTAGATAAATATGTTTCTTCTAATAAATATAGTATAAAGCCACTCACCTATTGATAGAGATGAGTTTATCAGTGTCTCGTGGAAAGTAGAGGTCAGGTTCTTGGGAATATGTATCACATACAGTAGATAAGATCGTTCTGATTGGTGCCGGCTGCTCGCACGTGACTCCTGGCCTCACCCGAGCCCGCATGTGCCTTCCCAGCAGTCCGTGAGGCTATGAGCTCTACTGTCAACTCACATTGCCTAAAATAGAACATGTGCCCCTCTCCAAGTCAGTTCTTTATTAATACCTCTCTTCCAATGACACCACTGTTCTCTGAATCACCTAAATAAAATTTTGGAGTCAGTTTGGGTTTTTTCCTTTTCTAATACTTCCGTATCTTAATTAGTGACCAACTCTTTGGATTGTTTCTGTAGAGCTTCTCTTGCTTCTGTCTGCATCCAAAAACGACTCACCTTGATCATTATCAACAAATACCTGGACTGTCCTAAAGGTCTTTGTCTTCCCTCACACTCATTACAATTAACAGCGATTAAGCATTTGCTATTTATAGCATGCATTTCTAATCAGATCTTCACGTCTTTATTCCTGCTTTATAGATGAAGAAACAGGTACCTAGATGGTTCTGTGATTTACCTATTAAAGGTCACAGAGCCAGTAGGTGGAGGAGGCTGTCACATATGCCAGAGACTCCAGATCCTGCTTAGCCAGCACTGCCTGCAGGTTCTCTGCTGGGCAGTCTAAACTGTCTGTGAACTGTGGAGGAATTTCCCTAAAGTACTGATTTGATTGTTACTCCCCCTCCCAGAGCCTTTCAGTAACTTCCTATTGCCTATTGAAAAGTATAAACAGCAGTTAATATGTAACTGAGAGTTCACATGGCAGCGGTCTCCCAGGTCCCCTGGGCCCCCGTGTAACCCATTACTCCTGATCTCCCTGTCCCCCATGCCCCGTGCCCTCCTGTGTTGTTGTCCTCTGCCAGCTCATCAGCTTTGCCTGCCTACAGTCTCCATTACAGGCTTCATTTGCAGGTCATGGTGTCTGCAAAGCTTTTATCAGTCTCCCAGCTGGAGTTTTGTATTCAACTGAACTCATATTTTACCTTATTTCATGCATATGGCATTTATTGTCAGCTGTCTTTTAATGAAGTTGTTATCATTATTGCATTGCTCACCTAAGTTGAAGGTTTTCGAGGACCCAGAGTATGCATCATGCTTTTTCCAGTTTTTGACTCAGTGAAATACTGAATGGATATATGATGAATCATAATAATGCTAGCTAATATTCATCAAGTTTGGTATCCTCAGAAGAAAGGTTGCTTGTGAGAATCTAGTTGAATAATTTTATAATTTTATAAAATTCTCATGAGAGATGTTTTTGAAGCTTTACTAATATGTGTCAAGTCAAGGTCAGTTTTATCAGCATTGACCCTGACGCTTTCATCTAATGTGTGCTCTTCAAGGCTATAGCTGCCCTTCCTAGCAAGTAACTCTAGCGAACCTACAGACATAGATGGGAGTAAAGCAAACCTGAATCACTCTCTTGTAACGTCTGTGACTGTTCTCAGAGGAGCTTCACTAGGGCAGGAGAACAGGAAGGCATGCTACACTTTCTAAAATGAGAGATCTTGAAATAAACCCACCAACATAATATACAAACTGTAAAGGCCTATATTCTTTCTATACTTTTTCCAGGTTATTTCTTAGTTAATTTTTAAGGTCTCATATGAATATAATTTTAAGGTTTAAAATTAATGGAAGTATATATTTTTAGCAATCATTTAATAACAATTTCATGGAATTCTTAGAGGTCAGAGTACTGCATATTTATCTCGAAATGGTGAAATAGATAGTGGTGAAGGCAGAAAGTAAACCCAAATTTTAATTTTCTAGGGATTTTAACAGGTGTTAAAATCTTTGAAATAGTTTATTTTACATTTTTTCTTTCATAGTGAGGCCTTTGGGGAAAATTTTTCTAACACTAATTTCCAGATCGTTTACCTCTTGTTATCCCACTGGTTACCATTAGGTGGCGATAAATGGCCGTATCAAATGAAATAGGCAAAGAGATCTGGACTATACAGACGGTGTATCTGAAAACCAGTTTTTCTGTAGAAGTTTGAATTTTCAATATTGAAAAATTTTGGGTTATTAATATATACTTAATTGTTTTCAATATCTTATTAAATGTATATCTGCATCTTATATATTTATATTCTAAAAAACATTAGTGCTGCTTAATCATTTTTAGGGTCATAGTAGAGTTTAAACTCTATTAATAGCATTGACCCCCTTCCCAGAAAGGTTTGCCTAGATTTCACCTGAAGCCCACAGTGAGCCCAGGTCCTGGAGCCTCATGTTCTACCAATGAATAACTGCAAATTCCTCCCTCGTCCTCCTCTAGACCTAATTACATGGACTGCACTTCATGTTTCATCTGAAACATTTGTGGTGCCCCCTTTGAAAATAACACGTTTTCTCAGGAGATGGCATGCCCCAAAGGTGTGACCGCGAGATAAACCCACATGGGTGCGACAGCGACAGCCGCATCGTCATCAGTGACTGTCTGGGGGCCCGGCGGGTGCCAGGCTCTGAGCCAGAAGTCGTGGTGCTGGCTGCAGCCCAGGTCTCCTCGCCACGGCAGCGCTGGCCTCTCTCCCCACGCAGGTGCCGAATCAGAACTCACGCAGTGCAGTCCTGCCTTCTGCGTGTTCACTACACTCTCTGGAAGAATTGGATTAGTTCCTTTTCTTTCCCTTTACTTTCTGGTCCAATCTTTTAAGACAGTGTGTTTTCTAATTTGCCCTTCAAATACTTAATTTTTTTGGTCTAAAAATACTTTTAAGCATATTGACTAGATTCATCTCCCTGATTCACTTAACTAAGGTTTTTGGGGGGACGGAGGAGGATTCTGTACTTCCAAATGTTATTAGTTTCAAAGACTAGTTATATAACCTACACAGAAAATGGAACTCCAGTTGCAACTTTGCTTTAAGTTATGGAAATCTTAAAGCATAGAAACACTATAAAACCACAAGTATAATTTTTTGGTCAGGATATTAAGTATCAAAAGTAGAATTAACATATTGATAGTATATTGTATATAACAGTATATTTAATATTTTATTATTTAATATATTAATGTATTAATTTATAATTCAACTGTAATGTTGACTTGCCACCTTTAGAGATTATCTGTTAACTTACCATATTACACTTAATGTCTTTAAATAACATTTACTCCCCTCATATACAGCGTAAAACAGCAGTGGCCCTGAATGTTAAAATCTTGGATTTGAGCAGTAAGTTTCTTATGGGAACCAACTTTCCCATCAAGATTGAGAAGCATCTCTTACCAGAACACATTCACCATAATTTTGTGCTCGCTGGTGATCATGTACTAATTGATGGTCTGCATGCAGAAGCATCAGATGACTTGGTATGTATATTCCCTTCTCTTTATAGTTGAGGTCTCCTCATCTGTGTGTCGCCACCGCTTTAACCCAAAATTCAGTGATAATATAATAATATCTTTAAAAATACTTTGGTGTTACTAAGCCCTAAAAAATTAACTGTGGGATTACTAATTCTGTACGTGCTTTGAATGATAATAATGGTTTGATTATTTATTCCTGTCTTATAAAGGATTCCTCATCTTTAAAGTATGGTAAATAAGAACAATGTTTGACATTGTAGACTACTCAGATTTTTAATGCATATAGTCTCCACCTGACCTGGTTAAAGGTGCTTTATGGCTTATGAATTGGGTAAAATTTTGTTCAAACATACCCCGTAACAGAGAACTCCAGTCAAGTATATTGTATCCCATGCTGGTTTATGGATCTAAAAACTTCATCTTGTGTAAACCATTATTTTATTTTTAAAGTAATAGTGAACTGTTGAATAAAGAGGTGAAAGCCTGTATTTTCATTGTGTAAGACTTTGTATCGTATTTATAACTTTTCTCATTTACTTTTTAAATATAGGTACGAGAAGCTGCTTATAAAACTTTTCTTTATCCCAGTGCTGGTCAATTGAAATGTTTAGAGGAATTGCTCCACAATAGGAATCTTCTGGCAAAACTAGTAGGGTATTCCACATATTCCCACAGAGCTCTCCAAGGAACAATAGCTAAAAATCCAGGTAAGCTTGTTTATTTAACTTTTAAGGAACAAAATAGGGTTGCTATGGAGTTGAACTTCTGATCTTAAATACTAAAAATTAGTGTTCTATTTTTAATATACTCAGAGATCCATTTATTGAGATTTTCTACGTCCTTAGATGGGAACAATTTTTAAATGGAGCTAATAATTTGGAATATATTCTGTTCAACCTAGGCGTTTCACTTTGTGTGCATCTTTGAGAGTGAGTCATACCTCAGTTTTCATTGATGCTAATACAAATTATTTTCCTTTTAACTTAGCTAGTTTCTGTGCTTAACCTAACCAGATAGGTTAGAATTAGTATGAGAAATGATGAAAGGTCAATATTTCTGCTTAAGATTAAATATAGCCTAGGTCACATAAAAACCTATAGTTCTATAAGCCTCCTTTTCAGAGAGAAGAGCATTGCTTTGGGAAGGTTTGTGCTAGAGGGGAGGAAAACATCTTTCTTTGGGCTTGTGATAATTTTGCCTTGTGCTCTGTTGAATTCTTGATGATTTATAATGTATAAGAGAAAATGTTATATAATAGTAATAGTATATACTATACTAGTATAGTATATAGCAAGTTGTTTCAAAGGCATTTATGAATTTACCGTTACAGTTTAGACATGAGCCAGGAACAGGGTGGCTGCGGTGGCGTAGCTGTTCAGACGAGAGCTGCTGTGGAGGCCGGTTTCCAGGGCTTGGTTAGGGGCAGAGAGGCCGGAGGAGCCGGTGTGCTGGTGCTCTTGGTGTCTGTTGTGCATCTGGATGAAATGCCATTCAAGCAGGGAGGGAACCCTGGAAATGGACTGTGTGTGGGAGGAAGAGCACCTCCTTCATCATACTCTGTCTTTTCTGTGCAGGTCCCTCCTCCGTCTAGGACGTTTGTACCTTCTCCAAAGCTTTCTTAAGTTTGCCTTATCTTACTCTTACTTTTTTGTGCAGTCATTTCCCTTGACCTGTCAGGGCTCTCTGGTCAGCTGTAAGCACGTCACACCCATTCCTGTGCTCAGGCTCCTGCCTGGGGAAAAGTTTCCCCTTCCTGGTCTGTCTGTGAACATCCTATCCAGTGTTTCAGTGCTCAGCTTGAAACCGACCTCTTCAATGAAGCCTGTTAAACTTCGTCACTTCCTTCAGACTCCCTTGTCTCTGAACCTTTTAAGCACTTAAAATTTGTCACACATGATTTAGTTCCTAAGTAGATATACCATTTTGTATGTTTTTCTGTAGTCACTGTTTCACTAGATTGTTATATTATTACTATTCTATAATGCTTACTCTGGACCATTATGTTATAGAGGAATTATAAGGGAAATCTTTGTATCTCTTCCACAGATAAGGAATCTAACGTTAGGTTATATTACTAAAGGTGGCAGAGCTGAAACCTAAAGCCAAGGTCTGAATTTATGGTCTGCCACAGGCTGCTTGAGAACAAACATCCTTTTATGTCATCTTACCTCCTCTACTTTCATTCACTGATTTGACAAATGTTTACCGAGTGCCCACTGTAAGATAACGCAGGCATTGGAAAGGTCAGTGTGTAAAACAGGTGGACATTCCTGCCCTTGTGAGTTTATGTTTTTGTAAGGGAGATAACAAAATAAACAGGTAAAGAATATGGTATGTCGTTAGTTGATACAAGTTGTGGAGAAAATTGCCTATGGAGGGGATGAGACATGTGAGCGCGTAGAGTGGAGCGGGCGTCTGAAACAGCTGTCAGGGGAGAGCTCATGAGAACGTGCCACGTGAGCACAGACCTGGAGGAGGTGCGGAAGTACGTCTGTGGCTGTCCAGGGGAAGAAGGTTTTGGATGGAGGCACAGCAAGTGCAAATGGGCAGAAAAGTGCCGAGGTATCTGTGGAGAAGCAGGAAGGGCAGAGTGAATGAAGAGAGCGGTACAGGTGGAGCTGTTGGGGGGCTTGAGTGAGAGGTGAGATGATCTGACTTAACTTTTAACATGTATGTCATGTAGTGCTGATACTGAGACAGCCTGAGAGAGGCAGGGCTGGAAGGAGACCTTGCGGAAGCTCTCTTGCAATGATCCTTGTGACAAGGATGGCAGCTTGGCAAGGTGGTGGCCGTGGAGGTGGGTACATGTGGTCAGCTTCTGGATCCATAGCCTTTGGAAGGCAGAGCCACGGTCTTTGACCTGAACAGCTGGGCAGACAGACTGAGTTACTGTAACCAAGATGGGTGGTTTGGCTCAAGTCAAGTTTGAGATGCCGGTTGGTGTGCTGGTGGCAGTGTTGAGTAGACAGGTGTGGTTCTACGGGTGCTGAGGAAAGAGTTTGAGCTGGAGATACAATCTGGGTCTGTATTTACAGTCATGAGACTGTGCAAGGTCTCCAAGGGCGTGGAACAGCAGTCTGGGACTGAGCTCTGGGGCTCCCAGTTTAAGAGGGCCGAGGTAGGAGGGGAAGCCATTAAGGCCCCCCAGACAGAGCTGTCAGTGGTCGAGGAGGAAAGAGCAGCGTGGGGCCCCGGAAGCCATGTGAAGGAAGCGTTTCAAGGAGCCTAGAGCGATCAGCCGACTCCGATGCTGCGGCAGGCGAGGTCTGATGGAGGCTGTGGACTGGACATTGGCTTGAGCGGTGTGGGTTGGAGGTCGCTGGACATGCAGCAGCTAATGCCAGAGAGCAGTACCAGCAAATCCATTGCTCACCAAGTGGTTAATATGGTAATACTTTAGAATTAGACTGTTGCACACATAGTCGTCACGTAGAATGTGACCTGTGTCCTTGAGAAATTTAAATTTTAGTTGGGGAGCTCAGACATATGCATGGAAAGATAAGTAATGACACAGGTTGGTGTCTTTTCAGTGCCACGTGGCTAGTGTAGATAAAAGAATGCCATAGGATTTTAGGAGTTTGGATAATTTGAAAGATGCCTGGGTATCTGTTAAAGGTTTTGTGAGGGAAGTGAAACTGGAGGTGGACAGTGAAGGAATGGTGAGCTTGTAGCAGAGGAGGAAGAGGTTAAAAGGGGGACAAACAAAGGTCAAGGTGGGTAGTTATGTGATAGGTGAATTGGGAAATTTTTTGCCAATGAGGCACTCATTTTCAGGGAGTTTCAAACCTATTCTTCTTAATATGACAATTTTCCAGGTAGATTAATTGAGTTAGATTTGTCATATTTAGGATAGCTAGAAAAGCAAAATGGGTTGCAGGTAGTGAAAGGTGATGATTTAGAAGTAAAAAACATACAGATTTTAAAATGGTTCTGTGTGGCTGCTGGTGTGACATCCTGAAATAAGATTTCATTGTTAACTAAGTAACAGTTTTTTCCAAAAGTCGTAATAATGCCTAACATGGTACCTGAGGCAATGTTCTTAGAATTACGATATATAGGCCTGTTGAGTATTGACAGTGGCAAGAAACCCATGGCTTCTTGATTTAGGTTAACCTTCATCTTTCTCTCAGCCTTTTATTTCACTCAGAAAGGAGATAAACTGAAGAGGGCAAGAAACTTAAAACCGTATAAAAGATCATCTGGAAAGTATAAAAACTGTGGCAAACTCTAAAAAACATGTTAAAGCTCTGTACACACAAATCAATAGCAAAATATGTTAAATTTAAAAATACACATGAACATTTTCCTATCATGGAAAAGAATGGTAATTCTACCACATTGCCATCATGGATTTGTAAAATCTAATGACTTATGGTTGAATTATTTAATTTTACAAAAATTCTAACAGTTTAAATTTTTAATGTTCTAATTTTGCTGTATTTTCTTTTGTTATTGATCCTGAATATATTATTCTGCAGGTATGTACAGAAATAAAAAATAATTATTTACTCAGAAAAACCTTGATTTTTAAGATCTAATTTTGAGTGAATCATGCTTTGAAATTGTACTGATTTTTATGAACAAATCAGTCTACCTATCTCTTTAAAACTCAGAAAAAGTTAGACATGTCTAAGAAACTTGTTTTTTCTCTTAACACATGAATAGAGGAAACAGTGAAATTCTGGATTCTTTTTTCAGTTACCCATTATTAACTCTTTTTATCACTTTGAAAGTGAAAATCATCACTTTAAGGCTAGTATAGTGTATGGATTATGATCATATTATAATTTTTACAGATACTCATTTTATGTAACTAAAGAGATTTTCTTTTGGATTTCATTTTTAGAGACTGTCATGCAGTTCCTTGAAAAACTATCAGACAAACTTTCAGAAAGGTTAGTTTTTATTCTGCTGTTTAGCGTATATATCATTTAGTTTTTTTTAAAAAAAATACTTGATTTATGAAAAATTAAAAAGTGACCTCTTAAGAATGTGTTAGAATGTTAAGTCAGATCTGTGGACTATTCAGCAAGAGACTCAGTTAACTTTGAGGTACCTTTGAGCACATAGTTTTCTTCCTCAGGTGACGATCTTGAGAACTTAGGCTGTCTTCTCTGGTTAACCGAGGTGCCTGTCACTGATGTGGAATTTTAAAAAGTTTCCAAACCTTTTTGAAACTATGTATTTTCATTTGTGCCATCAATTTCATAGAATCATAACTTTTGTATTTTTATGAGTTCTTAAAGTAATATTTCTTTCCTTTTGGCCTAAATATAAGAGGCTCCTGGATGTGGTGATTTGATCTGTGGCTTTGATTTCAGGAATGCTTTGCCTCAGCCTTTGTAATGTCAAGCTGGAGAATTGCATTCTCTCTAGGAAGTCCCTTTGTCACATTCCTGCATCTCTCCCCTGGGCGTCTGGCCTCTCTGATTTTGTCACTTGTCCTTCACTTAGCCCTCCCCCAGAGCTTTGCGGAGGGCCAAGTGCTCCAGTGGCCTTCAGATGCCTTGGATTCCGGGTAGAGGCATGTCGTGGTTTGTAAAAGCCAGTGACGTTCTCTCATTTCTTTCTTGCACTGTCTAAAATTTCGTTTGTCTTTTTAACTATACAGGCATGTTGAATTTTAGCTCAAATTTCCGTATTCTATTATACACGCATGCCTTAGAACCCAGTCCTTTCTAATTTGGATTATATTTATACATTCTCAAATTTTCTTTTAATCTAGTGAACTACCAAGGCTTTGATATAATGAAGAGGAAGTGTTGATTATGCAGTTATTTGAGAATTTATTCTGTTTTGTTTTGTTAAGTGTCAGTGTTCTTTCCTTCCTTGTATGGAGCTGTAGATTATGTTTTGAGCAAACATAGTTCCAGATTTTTACAGTTCCATTTAGCACTTAATTCGAACAGAAACTTCATATTCTATAAATATTAAGCATGTTAATCAAATCTAATATAAATTTAATTATTTCCCAGCTAGTTTTCCTGTAGGGGTAAAATGAATAGCTATCTTAAATGTAATCTATGTTAATATTCTTTTATAGAAAGTAATTTGTTAGTCTCTGACCTTTGTAAGGTATAGCAGAAAGTAGGGACTTTAAGTTTGCTGTTTAATACTTCACATGTTTCTGTGACATTGCTAATTTTTCCAAGCTATAGTACTTTTAAGATCTTGAGAACTTTTAAGACATCTGTCAAAGTGCTTTTTAAGGTAGAAATTGCAATAATTTGCTCATGTGTGTATATATTGTTGTCTCTTCTAACACATGTAAAATTTGGATTAATACTGGTTTATATTTGCACTATAAATTACTTCTAATTTTATCATAAATATTGGAAAGTAAAATAAGCAAATGAGTTATTTTACAATGTAATTATTACAATTTTATTCTGGCAACCAATGATAAACCTGTTTTACAGAACTATGAAAGATTTTGAGATGATACGAGGGATGAAAATGAAGCTAAATCCTCAAAATTCTGTAAGTAACAATGCTGAACTATTTTTATTATAATATAAACAGTCTGTTAGCTGAGGTCATTATCTTTTGACTCTGAAACTTTCTTGTGATGTGCTGAAGGTGTGTATATAGTCTTATTTCTGATCTTCGGTCTTGTTTCTAATCTTTGGATTCGGTGAATAAGTATTGAAATACTCGGTCGATATGTCCACATCTGACATTTCCAGGAGATCCAGTATTTTTGTTGGTTAGTTGACATTACACACCCACCTCTGTGAATGTGTATCAGCACGATGCATGTTCATATATACTCATGCCAAGGCTGTTTCCTCCTGTAGAGAGTTGGCTCCTCGTTGGCAGTAGCCCTTAAGGGGTCTTGGTGGAGGACCGATCCAGCAGTGGCAAATTTAGCCATCATTGTTAATGCTGTAGTTTATTCATTTGTTTGTTAATTTATGGAGCTCAGTTAAATAGATCTCTGTTGACTGACAAAGTACTATACCCCATCCTAAAAACATGTAAGTGGTGTTTTCAATCATTAAGATCAAATGATTACATGATCTTAAAGTACCGACTAGTATCCTCATGGCCAGGATGCTGCCCTTGTGGTTGGGGTGCCCTGAAATGTGATGGGATCCTGGGAGCTAGGACCCAAGTTCTTATTTGGCTCAAGGACGGGGCAGGATTGTTGGGTTTGTCTACACCATTCGTCTGTACGTGCTGCTGTTGGTGAGTCTTGATTTGGTGGTGGCTGCCAGAGCCATAGTCATAGGCAAGGTTTTGGGTGAGTGAGCTCTCAGATTTAGAAACTCTGAGCTTCCCGGATGCAGTCACTAAGAAATAGATTAATCCTCTCAAACTCACTGATTTTCTGGAGTAGGAACTGTGTCTAGCAGAGTAACTAGGATTAGTCACCCTGTGCACGTTGGCCTGGTAGGCAGGTTCACTTGGGAAACCAGATCATAGGTGAGAATTTAGTGTGGTGAAAAGAAATACAAAAAAGTAAAATGTGTTGTCAAAAGCTAATACATGACTTGAAACTGTCCTCCCTAGACATTTGTGTGTAGCTTATTGATACAGGTTGTTCTGCAGACATATGTGAAATGCCTGCTCCTTCTCATGAAGTCTCTGTTGTGATGAATGGTGCCGCCTTTTCCCCTGCTGCCCTGGCCAGAACCTGGAATTACTCCAGACCAGTGGTTCTCCGAGCGTGTTCCCTGGACCAGAAACGGCATCACCTGGGGACTTGTCAGAAATACAAATCCTTGTTGAGTCCCACAGTCTGTTTCCACAAGCTGTGCAGGAGACTTACCCACTGGTGCGCCCTCCCTGCAGCCATGTCCTCAGTTTCCAAGGCCTGTGTCTTCTGCTCTCTGAGGACTCTCTGTCCTCTCCCCACACCCGCTGCTGCAGCCCACTTGAGGTCGTTATTGCTTCTCACCCTGATCACAGCTCTAGTTGCTGAACTGGTTCCTAGCCTTCTTTTCTGGCTCCCCTCAAAGCCGTCCTGGCTTGGGGTTGCTGAGCCGTGTGCCTAGCTCAGTGTTACACACAGAGTATGTGTACTTAGCACTTATTTGAATGAATAAATGAATAAATTGCCATTAGAGGGATTTTTCTAAGAAGTAGATCTGATCTTGTCACTCTTTAGTTGAAATTTTTTTAGTAGCTCCCTGTAATTCTCAGATTTATCTTCCTGTTTCTTAGCTTTTCACAAGCCCATCATAATTTCGCCCCTGCCTGCTTCTCTAGCCTTATCTTCTGCCACCCCTAAAAGCCAAGTTAGTGCCCTCTGGTCCCTACTAAATAATACCTGGAGGGTGCTCATGTGGCTTTTCTCTTCCTTTTTGCTTTGCTTTCCTTTGGTTTTTGATTCTAACTGATATTATTGTGCTGATAACTATGGCAGTAGCTTCCAGTCACTCACAGATACTGTACAAAAGGATGCCTTTCCCCTTTCTCATCTGATTAAGTGCTCCCGTTTTTCAAAATTCAGCCTGGGCTTGGTGTTCTCCATGCATTTCCTGACCTTTCGCTGCCAGCCCATTATCAGCTCCTGGCACAGGGATCATGTCTTCCTCGGTTTTGTTTCATTAGAGCCTGCGTGCACTCTCTCATGTAGCAGATAGTAAGTGATCATCTGCGGGAGGAGATGTGTGCTAAGAGCGGAACACCCAGGGCCTAGAGCCCCAGAGAGGCTGCCCCTGCCCTTCAGGAGCTCACAGAGAGAAAGGCAGAAATGTTCAAGTATCTTACATTGGTCATGTTCCCTGATAAATATGTGATCCTGGAATATGGGAAATAACGCTTGCTGTTTGAGGAGAAATGTCCAAAGTGAAATTTTTAAAGTTAAT